CCCTACCTTTTTTGAGGTCTGGATTAACTAAGGAGTTCTGGTGTGGCACTGTGGGTTAATGTGTTGGACTACAACATTGGTTTGAACCGCAAAGTCGGCAGTTCCAGCTCATCAGCCATATAGGGTTGCTATGAGTCGTAACAAACTCCATGGCACTTAACAACAACAACAACTTTCGACCTCATCTTTCTACCTCGCTCAAGACACAGATAAGCACAAAGGGCAGATGAGAATCCCCGCCTGCTGCTGTGAGTCAGATCTTCCAGGATGAAGAGAGAAAACAATTGTGAGTTGTTTTCCCTCGTAAGTATCTAGTTTAGGAAATGAAGAATCGTCTAGCCTGTTAAGCAGCAAGGTGCCTTCTTACTGAATATCTTACCATGGAAGATACCAGATGCCACAACCATCTGTGTATTTATGTAACATCACCTTCACTCTCTCCCTAGTTAAGGATATTGTTGTTAAGTGCTATTGAGTCAGTTCTGATGCACAGTGACTCTGTATATAGTTCCCAGGAGCAGCTGGTGGGTTTGAACTGCTGACCTTGTGGTTCACAATCCAGTGCTGGTCCTACAGCGCCATACCAGGAGTCCAATAAGTAAGTTGTTGTTGTTAAGTGCTATCAAGTTGGTTCCAACTCACAGCTAAGGAAAGGTTGGTGAATTTGAACTGCCCTTGTGGTTCAAACTTGACCTTGAGGTTCAGCACATTACCCCACAGCACCACACCAGGGCAATGGTGCTGTCTTAGAAGTTACTCTTTAAAAATAACTTTAATATATTTTAGCTAATTTGACTGAGGAATCAATCCTTGGGTGGTACAAACAGCATGCTAGGCTGCTAACTGAAAGTCCACTGGAGGTTCCTCCGAAGAAAGGCCTGGTGATCTTCCAAAATAATCATCCAATCAAAGCCTTAAGAATAAGCACAGTTGTACTTTGACACACATGGCGTCACCAGGAGGTGGCAACTATAAACTGGGAATTTGATAGCTCCCACAACCATCATGGGAGAGGTCATTATCACTTCCATTTTATCATAATGTTATTTTTTGATCCAGTCGTAAGGATTTTTTTTTTTTCTACTTTGAGAATGCAGTCCATTCTGAAGGCTGTAATCTCTGATCTTCATCAGTAAATATTTTAAGTCCTCTTTGCTTCTAGCAAGCAAGGTTGTGTCATCTGTATATCACGGTATGATTCCTCCAATCCTGCTGTCACGGCCATTCTTCTTCATTTAATCCAGTTTCTCAGATTATTTGCTCAAAATACAGACTGCATAATTATAGTGGAAAAAAACAACTTTGATGCCCTCCTTGACTGATTTTAAACCACTTAGTATCTCCTTGCTCCATCCTAATGACTGCCTCCTGACCCACCATTCATTGGTCAGTTTCTTGTACTATGGTGATCTGTGTGCAGCTGTGATGCTGGAAGCTATGGTGTACAGGTTATAGCAGAGCTTACAGACTAAGGCAGACTAGGAAGGAGAGGCAGACCACTTCTGAAAGGTTAACCACTGAAACCATGTGACTAGCAGCAAATTGCTGTGCCCAAAGATGAGCCCTTCACGTTGGAAGGCCCATCGCATACAACTGGGGAACAGCAAAGAGCTACTGCCTAAGAGTTGACTTTAATGATTTGAATGCAGCAAAGCTTTTGGGACCTTCATTTGCTTGTGAGGCACAACTCAAAATGAGAAGAAACAGATGCTGTAATAGATGTTGTAAGCATCCATTAATAATCAGAACGTGGAATACACGAAGTATGAATCTAAGAAACTTGGAAGTTGTCAAAAATTAAATGGAATGCATAGAGACTGCTATCCTAGACATGGCGGGGTATTGCAGGACACTGCACTGGACCACAAAGTCGGTCTGAACCACAAGGTTGGTGGTTCAAACCAGCAGCTCCTCGGAAACACTAGGCAGGGGCACTGTGAGTCAGACTGACTCGACAGTACGAACAACCATAACAGTGAACTGAAATGGACAGGTGTTGGCCATTTTGAATCAGAGTAATTGAAGAGGAATGGTGTCCCGTTCATGGTTGAAAAGAATGATTTCAAGATCTCTCTTGACGTATACTGCTGTTTGTGACAGGTTTCAAATTGGGATGTGAATTTCAAAGCCTGGCTCTGGTTGAGGAACTACCTCAATTTTAGCTCCCCTCCTAGGGCAGCAAAGTTTCAAGGCAGCTGACCCAGAAATCATTTTTAGCAGGTTCTGGAATCAGACAGTTTTAAGTTTAAACTCTGAGTTGACCTTCCATTTGCCATGTGACCCCTGGCAAATTAAGTTCTTTAAGGCGTTTGGTATGAAATAAAGGAGATGATAATACAGCAGTATGTAAAACATGGAGTCCTGGTGTGGCGCTGTGGGTTAATGCGCCAGACTGCAAAGCCGTTTGAACTGCAAGGTCGGCAGTTCAAGCTCACCAGCTGCTCCTCGGAAACCCTATACAGGGTCACTATGGGTCAGCACCAACTTGACGGCACTTCACAACAACAATGTAAAACATTGCTTGGTAAAGTGAAAGGTCAGCGAAAAAGAGGGCAACCCCAACGAGATGGATTGGCACAGTGGTAGCAGTAATGGGCTCAAGCGTAGCAACGATTGTAAGGCTGGTGCAGGACTAGGCAGTGTTTCATTCTATTGTGCATAAGGTCGTTATGAGTCGGTACCAACTCATGGCACCTAACAACAGCAACAGCTATGTAAAACATAGCTCACACCTAGAACATAGTAAGTAGTTGATAAATGGTACCTGGTGTGGTGCTGTAGGATAAGCAATGGACTGTTAACCATAAGTTTGGCGGTTCAAACCTACTAGTTGAAACCCTATACAGGGTTGCTATGAGTTGGAACAGACTCAATGGCACTTGACATCAATGATGTTATTTCCAATGAAGATGAATTACACCTATATTCCTTCATATTCTCTGGCTAAAAATACAGTTTTTACCACAAAATCCTCAGAGTGAGAGGGTGATAATGAAGTGATGGAAAAGTAGTTAAAAAACAAAATTAAGATGGGGAATATAAAGTAATGAGTAATTTGCCACCCTGCTACTGTAAAGCTACATGCAAAAAAATTAAATAAACAAAACCAACAAGAAACTCTATGTGAAGTGTTTGGTTAAAGATGGCATGACACCCTGCTATCTGTGCTGGGGTTTATTTTTATGAGTCTCTCTCTGGAATGGGGTCCATGTGTGATGCTCACAGTTAATGGACTGGCTGGTAACTCAAAGGCTGGAGGTTCCAGTCTACCCAGAGGCACTGCATAAGTTAAGGCCCAGCAATCAACTTCTGAAAAATTAGCCACTGAAACCCTATGGAACAAGGTGGTCTTACTTCAAATCAAGGACCCACTCAATGCAGGTACTCAGCCTTGTTGGGGTAGAAATCAGGAGGGGTGTTGTAAAGTAGGTGTTTAAATACATAACTTGGGGTGAGGAGTGAGTGTGTTAATATAATGACTAGCTAGCTCTGCATGTCGGCACACAGAATGGGAACAATAAGAGAGATAAAGAGTATTAAGGCAGGTGTTCCTAAACATTCTAAAATCTCTCCTGCCCCATTATACTCTGAACCTAGGGTGTACATCCAACAGAGAAGTAAGAGGCTTAGATGTCATACTGTAGCATAAATGAAATAGAACCACCTAAGAAAGTTTCTCCTGGGATCAGTGCCACCTAAAACCACTCAAACTGCAGGCTTAGCAAGAGCTGAGCTTTAACAAAGAGTCCCTTGTCAGTATATATGGCTGAGTTGTGTGAAGAGCTATAAAGCACAGTGGGAGACAGCCCTATACAGAAATTCACATGCAAGAACTGTCTCCCTTGCAGGAACAGCTGGGCTTAGATGCCTAGGATACATAGAGACAGCTGTAGTGTTACAGCTAAATCTATTTGGTTCACATGTATAGTTAAATGCTAAAAAAAATAAATTCCAACCATGTGCTTTCAAGCTATTTATTAAGGTACTGCAAAGACAGAAGGAGAATCAAAAGGTTATTATCACTCCCAATCAAAAATACTTTTGGTAACTGCTCTTGCCCTAAACCAAGTTTCTAGATTTTCAAGTTTTCCTTCTGATCATGAAATGTGAACTAAGAATCCCACAGACCCTTGGCTTTGGCTAGTCAGCTGCAGAGGACAGGATCAGGATCCTGGTGCTGCGTGGGCCTGTGTTCTAGTCCTGATTATGAAACTTTTAGGAAATAACTCAATCTTTCTTATGCTTCATTTTTGCTATTATACACTATGACAGTAGCTTACCTGTCCCACCTACTCACAAGAGAACGCTGAGGAAATTTTCTCAAAGTGCCATGCAAGTCCAAAGTATAATGATGGCTAGGTTTAGTAATGCAGTGGTGGTGGGAGTTATGTGTCGTGGAGTCGGTTCCGACTCATAGCGACCCTGTACAGGGTTTCCGACGCTGTATATCTTTACGGGAGCAGAAAGCCTCATCTTTCTCCCACGGAACAGCTGGTAGTTTCAAACTGCTGACCCTCAGGATAGCAGTCCGATTCATAACCACTACGCTACCAGAGTTCTTTGCAGTAGGCCCCTTCTTTTCCTGTCTTAAGGGGAAGTAACTCTGCTAATTAATTACAAAGACCTTGACTACACAATTACGCCTCAGTTATCGACTATCTTGTCCAACATTTCGCAATTATGACAGAAGAAAATCTACTATCCAACTATTTTAAGTATTACTGACATATGTGTAGCAGTAACTAAAACTGAGGTGTGAGAGAAGAGTAACATGGTAAGATGGTTAAGGTTACGTATGACCTCGGCGGACTATGCCTCTCGGCAGGTTGGTAGTGAAGTATTGATGTAGTCATTCTCCGTTTTGTGGTCTGATGAGGTTATCTCCTCCATGCCAATTTTTGCATACTGACCTGGTCTTTGGAACCTAACCATGTTGATAAGAGAGGACTGGGTGCAGTTTTGGGAAGAGCAGAACAAAGGAACCACCATTCTTAGCTTACCTTCTTTTCATTGACATCTGCCTGTTCCTCTTCCTCATTCACCTCTTGTGGCATATCTTTGATTTTGTTCAGAAGCTCCGCCTTCGGGGCAGACACATTGTAGTAAGCTGGACAGTTGACCAACATGCCCATCATTTCTTTTTCTTCATGCCTACACCATAAAGAACCAAAAGTACAGTCACACACAGCCTATACCAGGAGCTGCATTATACCGTCCATTCAGAAAAGTGTCAAATAATTCTATAAACTGGCCCAGAAATTTAGATGAACTTATTAGTAATAAGTATTTACTAATGAGGGACTGGAATGCTGGTGGCACTGTGGAAAAAGCACTGTTTGGCAGTACAAACCCAAGGGTCATTCCATGTGAGAAAGATGAAGCTTCCTGCTCCCACGGAGCTTTGCAGACATGGAAACACTAAACAGTGTTTAGCTAGGAATCAGAACAGCCTCCACGGCACCTAACAATAGCAGTGAGTGATTGCCGTATGTTGGGCCCTTGAATCCATGCAAACTTGGGAGGAAAGCCACCAAAGAGAACAGGAAAGAACCTTAAAACAGGGGCATTTGGCAAGACTAAGTGACAGACATGGGGTTGAATCCAAACTTCCTTTGTGCTACATCCCTTTTCTTCTACTTTCAGAATAATTTGTACACCTCCAATTCCAGAGTCAATCATGCTTACTAAAAACCTATGATAAAAATGTTTTGTTCTCCGAAAGATGGGCCAAAATATCCTTTGGACACGTCAACCTCTAGAGATTTGAAAATCATACTCAAATACACTGTGGCGAGAAGACGAAGCCATTGGAGGGAGACCAGCTGAAGTCCGAGCTCGTGGAACAAGATTTCATGCATGCTGTTTTATTTGGTATGCTTTGTTTAGCATTTGTTTGTGCCATTGCTAATACTTCTTATTGTATCTGAGTAATACTTCAGGAGAAATTGAACAAGATGCCAAAAAAATTTCCGAAAAGCCACCTGACTTCATTCAATGCTTCCTGTGCTTGATAACGTTCTTTTTTGTTATATTTTTAGCTGGGTACCTAATAGTATTGGCTTTCCATTGTGATTTTTATTAAAAGTTACATTGTTATTTTGATGATATAAATTACTTCTCTAACATCTGTAATCACGTTACTGCTTTCCTGGCAATACAGAATATAGTTGTGTTGCTAGATGCTGTGGCGTTGGCTCCGACTCATAGTGACCCTGTACACAACAGAATGAAACAGTGCCCAGTCCTGCTAGCCTCACAATTATTGTTACACTTGAGCCCACTGCTTCTGTCAATGTGTTAATCCATTTTGTTCGGTGTCTGTCTCTTTTTTGCTGACCCTCCACTCTACCGAGCATAGTTTTCTTCTCCAGGGACTGGTCCCTCCTGATACTATGACTTAAGTATGAAAGACAAAGTCTCACCATCCTTGAAATCTCCAACATCATAATTCAAATGCATCAGTTCTTCTCGGTCTTCCTTATTTGTTGTCAAACTTTCAAATGCACGTGAGGGTACTGAAAATGCCACGTCTTGGTCAGGGGCACCTTAGTCCTAAAACTGACATCTTTGCTCTTGAATACTTTTAAGACATTTTGTGCAGCAGATTTGCCTAGTGCTATGGCAGTGTAGTGGTTACAAATCGGGCTGCTAACCTCAAGGTCGACAGTTTGAAACTACCAGCCATTCCATGGGTGAAAGATGAGGCTTTCTGCTCCCATAAAGATTTATAGCCTCGGAAACCTTGTGCAGGGTCACTATGAGTCGGAACATAACAACACTCCACGGCACATAACAACAACAATACATCATTTGATTTCTTGACAGCTGTTTTCATGATTGCTGATGATGGATTCAAGAAAAATAATCTTTGACAATTTCAATCTTTTCGCCATTTATCATGATATTATTCACTGGTTCAGTTTTGAGGACTTTTGTTTTCTTAACATCAAGGTGCACTTTATACTTACTGAAGGCTATGACCTTTGATCTTCATCAGTAACCATTTTAAGTCCTCTTTCACCACGGTTGCATCATCTGCAGATCTCAGGTCATTAATGAGTCTCTCTCCAATCTTGAAGCCATGCTCTTTTTTCATATAATCCAGTTTATTGGATTATTTGCTCAACACACAAACTGAATAAAGTATGGTGAAAGAACACAGCCCTGGCGCCAACTTTTCCTGATTTTAAATCATTCAGTATCCTCTTGGAAGTCTATGTATGGTCTATTTACAGGTTCCTCATGAGAACAATCAAGTGTCCTAGAATACCTATTCTTTGCAATGTTCTCCATAGCTTGTCATGATGATCCACACATTGGAAAGCCTTTGTATAGTCAATAAAGCACAAGTAAACATCTTTCTGGTATTCTCTGTTTTTAGACAAGATCCATCAGACATTAGCAATGATAGCCCTACTTTCACATCCTCTTCTGAATCCAGCTTGAGTTTCTGGTAGTCCCCTGTCAATGTACTGTTGCAGCTGTTTTTGAATTATCTTCAGCAAAATCTTACTTGAATGTTATATTAATGATATTTTTCTGGTGATTTCCACATTCTGTTGGGTCACTTCTCTTCGGAATGAGCACAAATATGGATATCTTCCAGTTGGTTGTCCAGATAGCTGTCTTCCAAATTTCTTAGCATAGATGAGTGAGTGCCTCCAGTGCTCCATCAGCCTGTTGAAATTTTTCAATTTGCTTTCTGTCAATTCCTGGAGCTTTGCTTTTTTGCCAATTACCTCCAGTGTCGCTTGGACTTCTTCCTTCAGTACCGTCAGTTCTTGATCATATGCTACCTCTTGGAATGGTACAGTGACTCTGTGTATATCGTTCATCTTCTTTCAAGGCTTTCTGTATCATGCAATATTTTACTCATGAATTCTTCAATATTGCAAGTTGAGGCTTGATTTTTTTTCTTCAGTTCTTTCAGCTTGAGAATTAGGTACCTTGAAAATACACCCATCTAAGTCTTTAAAGGAGTCCTGGTGTGTCACTGTGGGTTAATGTGCCAGACTGCAAAGCCATTTGAACTGCAAAGTTGGCAGTTCAAGAGCACCAGCTGCTCCTCGGAAACCCTATACAGGGTCGCTATGGGGCGGAATGGACTCAACGGCACTCAACAACAACAACAACAAGTCTTTAAAAAGGAACCGTTACACACCTTAGGTAAGTCTTTTAGAAACACTGAGGTTTTCCTCCAAATGTGGCCTCGTTCACCAGAGGTTCAGGAAAGCAGAGTATCTGAGCTGTGGCATGGTGAAGCAGAATGCCTGTCTATGATATAATAAGTACAAAAGAAGAGCACCCATGCAGAATAAAGCACTTTTATAGTGGGAGTCCTGGTGTTGTAGCTGCGGGTTAACGTGCTGGACTGCAAAGTCGCTTTAAACCACAACGTCGGTGGTTCAAGCTCATCAGCTACTCCTCGGAAACACCACACAGGGTCGTTATGGGTCAGAATCAACTCAACGGCACTTGCTAACAACAACCACATAATGGTGATCAAGGAATCTCTGCAGAGATTCATGATCAGAAGGGGGGATGTGAAAGAGCAATACAACTGAGGTGACTGAATCCAAGCTTCCTTTGCTCAATATCCACTTGTATTCTTCTGCTTTCAGAATATGCACACCCCTCCTTGAGTGACTCATGTTTACTTAAGACAATGACAAAATGGTTTTGTTTTCAAAAAGGATGTTTGTAGCTGACATAGGACAAGTTTATGGTTTAGGGAATAAGGATCTTCTAAGGGACAATGAGAATGTTCCCTCAAAAGATGTTTGTGCTCAGTTTACTTGCACAGAATAGCTATGACAAAAAACAGATTAAGTGACATTGTGAAAAGTTTACTGGTGACTGATAGGTAATGTGTGTGCAACCCCAGACCTCCTGACTCTTGTGTAAGCCCCAGCCTTCCTAGAAAAACCTCTCACCCCATTTTGGACTTTGGAACATTTGGTATCTTACCAAGTATTACACCCCAACCTTTGGTGGTAACAAATCCAACAATAAAACTCTTATCATTTCTCTCCTTGCAGGAAATTATATTTTGTACTCATTAACAACTGGGAGGAAGCCAGGTCTGTGCACAAGATTTGCAGTCATCTCTGCATGTTGCTCCTTTGGTATAGGTCTTTGAGCATTGTGATTTCCACCCCAGATAGGCTCAATCAGAATCTACATCTTAACAGGATCCTGGAGATTCTGATTCAGTATATCTGGAGTTGTTGTGATTGTTGTTGTTATGTACCACAGAGTCAGTTCTGACTCATAGTGACCCTGTATAGGGTTTCCAAGGCTGTAAATCTTTACGGGAGCAGAAAGCCTCATCTTTCTACCATGGAAGAGCTGGTAGCTTTGAACTGCTGACCTTGTGGTTCACAGCCCGATTCATAACCACTATGCTAGGGTAGAAAGGCAAATTCTCAGAGGTGCGTCAAACCAGAATGAACCAGTTTGAGGCCCTGCTTTTGTGATAATATAATAAGAATAGTGACTACTTCACAGAAAGGCCGCTCAAGTCATGACTTGATCAATATGAAAGCATTTTCTAGGAGCTCCACAAATCCTAGGTTTTACGTTCATTATTTCCCAGTCTCCCATGGTTGTCCATATCTTTCTGATGTTTACTACACTGTTGCTTTACTACAATGTTTACTACATTGTAGTATTTTCCTTCTTCAGCCTGATAACCCATGTAAGCCTGGGAATGTTGGAGCTTACTGGTCAAATTGAACTAATACAAGATACAAAATTTACTAATTGATTATATAAGAGGGTGATTTCAACGCTGGAGAATAAGCAAGGCGTTCACATATCTGACACCTAGTGCGCTGTTTTACTGGACCCCAGATGCCTTTCAGATGACAGTTCAGAATCTGATTACTGAATAAATGATTCGATGGGTGTAAGGTATACACTTTTAGAGAGGTGTTTCAACTAGTCTGAATGGTGACATGATTTAACATCTTGCCCATCGTTTTACTATGGTATACAAGAAACAGACAAAACTATCATCTTTACTAGTTTCCTACTTGATGGAAGCCATCAAGGAGCATTAACAGTGATTCTTTTTATTATGGCTAGTTTATATAGAAGGAGCCCAGGTGATACAAAGGCTCAAGTGGCATGTGGTTCAAATCTACCAGCTTCCTGGAAGAAAAGATCTGGTGATCTGCTGCCAAAAATGGTTTCAGCCTAGAAAACACTATTGGGCGGTTCTAATCTATCCTTTAAGGTCACTACGAAGCAGAATTGACCCGAAGGCAAATAACAATTTACATATAGTATGCCATTTCAATATTTTTTACATGTACAGTTTAATGACATTAATTACAACTTAATGACATTAATTAACTCATCATGCTGAGCAACCATCACCATGATCTGCTTCCGAATTTGTCCATCACCTTTAACAGAAGCTGAATGGAAGGATAAAACGTATTTCTGGTATATGTATATATGCAAATATAAATTTACCTATGGAGCCCTGGTGGCTGCTCTGTAGGATAAGCATTGAAATGTGAACCACAAGGACAGCCGCTCAAACCCACCAGCCTCTCCGTGGGAGAAAGGTGAGGGAGAAAGGAGAAAGGTGGGCTCGAACCTACTGGCTCACAGTCCAGTGCTTATCCAGCAGAGGCACTGTTGTCATTGTTGTTAAGTTCCTTTGAGTCGTTCTGACTCATAGTGACCTTGTACAGGGCTTCTGATGTTTTTTGAAATCTTTTCTAGAGCAGAAAGCCTCATTTTTCTCCTGCAGAGTGGCTGGCAGACTCAAACCACGGACCTTGGGGTTTACAGCCCAGTGCTTATCATATGGAGTCACTGTACTCCCATAGAAACACTGTGCTTACACAGACACATACATTACTGTGCTTGCTAGGTGCTGTCATGTCAGCTGACTTGTAGTGACCCTCTATAGGGTCTCCAAGGAGCAACTGGTGAGTTTGAACCACCAACCTTGAGCCTCAGTGCTTATCCTACACCAGAATTCATTTATTTTTTCTTTCAGATATATTCATTACATTGAAAATGGGCTTCTCAGGCATTTGCTTAACTAAACCCCACAATGGTTATTGGATTCCTGGTGTGGTGCTGTAGGATAAGCAGTGGACTACTCACTGCAAAGTTGGCAGTTCAAACGCACTAGTCACTCCTCAGAAACCTTATACAGGGTCACTATGAGTCTAACAATGGTTATTGGCTAAGCCTTAAGCACAGCAAAGCAATACTTATATTCACCAGAAGGTGGCGCATATTATCCTTTTGGGAATTCCTCAGAAAGGGCTCAGTGCCACCAAAGTTACATAACCCAGAATATTTTCTAAATTGGCTGTGCCAGCCTAAGCTCTCAATGTTGTTGTTATTAAGTGCTATCAAGTTATTCCAACTCATACTGATCCTGTATAGGGTTTCCAAGGAGTGGCTAGTGAGTTTGAACCACCGACATTAAGGTTCAAACCGACTTTGCAGTCCAGCGCATTAACCAGGAGTGCCACCCCAGGACTCTCAATAGTGCTAGGAAATAGTTTTCTAAGGATAGGTGTGCAAATCACTGCGGTCTTTCTCTAGTGAGAGGTCAGAGAATGGAAGAAAGTGAATGAAACCTCCTAACTTTGGCCATCTTGAAACTATCCATGAGGCGCACCCACAAAAACTCTCATTTTGAGTCCCCATGGTACCTTGCACAATGTTTGCTAAACACATAACCTTACTTGGCCTCTTGTTTCTTCACTGGAAAAAGAAGGGAAGGACAAGGTGACTGTTAGGGACTATTGCCACTGGGAGAATTTACTGCAAAGTACCAAATAGCTTATAAGTTGTTGTTGCTGTTAAATACTGTAGGGTCGGTTCCAACTCATAGTGACCCTGTATAGGGTTTCTGAGAAGCAGCTAGTGGGTACTCTCCCCCTATTCTCACCTGCCATAACAAAACAAAAACAGCAAAGCATGGCATTCCTGGAGTGAGTCATTTAGCTGGACCAGTTGGAAATTTCTAGAGTGTAGCCTAAACTTGGATAAGATGCTGTTTTTATTTAGTCTAGAGACTACTAACTGCTGAGTCTCAGTCTGCCAATCCACATAGTTTTCACTGAAAATGAAAAGGAAAACAAAAACCACTCTAAACTTTCCCATAGTTGTCCTTCAAGGGATCAAGCGTGCAAGAGAACATCACAGTAGCACAGGAGAAATCCAAAGAATGAAAAACACAGATTTCTGATGTTTTCTTTCACCTGCTTATGACTGGGTGCTGGGAAGGGTGTCCTGTGACAGCGTACATTCACTCACTTCTCAGGCTACTTTAGAAAGGAGACAGAAGGGCTGACAAAGCCATTCTTGCCTTGCAGGGATCTGAGCAAACACCTTTCTTAACTTTGACTCCTTGAATTTGAATGTCAGTGTTATAAATGAATCTATTCCTCTGGGCTGTTGTCCTTTTCCACAGCTACGCTCATCACTTGTACTGGCTCCTTTCTCAGCACCCCTGGAGAGGCAACTCTCAGAGTGGAGGATTCCATATTTGCTGAGTTGGGGATTCTGAGAGGGCTTCACAAAGAATGTGGACTAATTCCATTTCCCCTCAAACTTTTGGAAGTCCCTCATATAACCATGAAGACAGAAGTACAGAGGCATGCAACATGGCCTTGGTTGGACATGGTCCTTCATTCCTCTGTGCTTTGGTTTCCTTATTTGTAAAACGGAAGCAGAATTCATAGTTACCCCAGAAAGTTCTTGTGAAGATTAACTGAAATCATGTTCTACGCATCAAGGGGATCTTGATACACAGAACACGAACAACAGGTATTAATGGCAATTACTACTATTCCTACAACTAGTCTTTTAGTTGAACAAGTGCTTGGTAACTAGAGAGTCAGTCTGTCTGCTTCATATCATACTTCCCAGCTTCAAGTCTTTCCCCTGAGGCTGGGTGTCAAGACCTGTGGAAATCGGGAAACCTCAGTGGCCCTAGGCTTACACTGTCCCCATGGAGGGAGTGCAATTCTAAGTCTATCTAAGGACATCACCAGCAGTCTAGATACCATCAGGACATACCTCTTGCCTTCGCCGTCAGGGTGGCTGGGAGCTCTCTGTGTGGTCGTCCTCTTGATGCTGCTGCCCTTCATCGTGTTAACATTTCGGGGAAACAACCCTTCCATTAGGTCCATCGTTGTCTTCATTCTGGAGTCTGGGTCCAAAATGTCTGCCAGAGATTTGTCTTGGTGGACAATTTCCTTGGCTAAAGCCTCGGTTTTGACATCCTCTGAGGTCTTCTGAGGACCAGCACTGACTTTCTTCCCTAAACTTGGAGATTCACTGATTGGATCGTCAACGAAGTGCTGGGTCCAGAGGGGAGGAGGCTGCCCTGGGCTTGGTTGCTTGCCAAGAGACCCAATCAGTTGAAGCGGGTCATCTATGATAGAGGGCGGGTTGGCCTTATTGGACTCAGAAGTCTTGATAGAAGTTTGGAGTCTAGAAGCCAGTATGTGACTACCCACCAAATGGGCTGTAGCTGGCGCTGGTCTTTCTCTTATAGTCAACACCTTGGAAAATTTGCTAGAGCTACTAGGGCAATGAAAAAACAAACACATGAGTTAGGTAAGAGAAGGTTCAACAGAGGATGAAGGTGGGAGGGTAGAGGAAGACAGAGGGAGAAGCTTTCCATATTAGGTGTAAGATGAGATATTCATATCTCTAAGGTTATCATTTGCCACAGAACCATAAGCTCCTATAGTGTCTTCTCCTGAGCCTCGTAGGTAGGGCACAGGGAGATTGTGCAGTTTCTTAAGGGAGCTAGAGCCAGCAGGAGTTCTATTGTGGTGAGTGCTGTTGTCAGATTGTACATCTTGTGAAATGTCTAAGTGAACAGAGGATAGCGCTAAATCACTCTTACAGTGTTTACAGGTAGCTGAGGAGTCCTGCTGTGGCACAGTGGGTTAATATGCTGGACTGAGAGGTCAGTTTGAACCATAAGGTCAGTGGGGTTCCAGTTCACCAGCCACTCCTTGGAAACCCTACATAGGGTTGCTCTGAGTCAGAACTGACTCAATGGCACTTAACAACCACCACCACCAGCACAAAGGTGATATCAGGCAATGCTGGGTTTGTCTGTTTCTTGATGCTGTGACAAGTCATTTGTCCTAGGAAGTATATGCTAAAAATGCTTCTTTCCTATTCTTCTGGCTTCCAAGAAGAGGTTTCCCTAAACCTTGTTGACCTTCTTAGCCCTACTCTTTACTCCTTCCTATGAACATTCAGTGATTTTGGAACGAGAGGCTGATTATTTATAGCCAGCCTCCTCTCTTTTTCAGGGGTGAGGATGTCTCTGGGCTACAAATTTCCCAGGGGCAGCTTTGGCATCAGGTTCTGAACAAAACATGTTGAATGTTGAGGCTCAGTATCAAGAAGCCCACTGACACTAAAAGCCACATTATCCAGTATCAGCTCTAAAGTAAAGATTTTTGTCTTCTAAATGACGTACTCTTAGTTGACTCAGATCTTGGGTGGATAAGAGGGAGACTATTTATTCGGACTCCGTGAACCTCTCATGCCCATAAGAATGAAATGTGTCTCTTGAGCTTTTTGCTTTCATTTTCATTACTCTCACCCCTTAATACCCAGAGAGTGTTCTCAGGACTCCCACCCAAGATAAAATCTGGCCAGTTTCATAAGCTGGGCTTGTATAGGCTTTCCTAGGGTCAAAAGGAGGATCTGGGAAGCCAGGAGCCCAGTGTCCGACCACTTACCTGGTCTTGGGATCCTCATAGGCCTCGCTGTCCATCTGTGCTTCACACAGAGCTTGAAGAGGGGGTGGAGGAAACTCATCCACGATACTCACTGGGGTGTCCAGGCTCTGCGGAGGAGCTGGGGGTGGGGGGAGAGCTTCAAATGTGGGGCTGGAAGTGGCACTGGGTTGCAAGTCCTTCACAAACACTTCATCATCATACTCCTCCCGAGGCGGTGGCAAACTCTGTGAGAATGACTCGGATATTCGGAGGGAAATCCTCCCTGGAGTGCTGGGGTCAGAAGTGCTGCTTGAACTCGGAAAACTCTGCTGTTTTCTATAGTGCTTCAGGTTCACAAACTCGGGCGACAAGGATTCCTCGGGAAGGCTGTCCCCTCGGACTACATAGGCCCATTTCACTTGAGAGGGCGGAGGCCTCTGAGGCAGCGAAACCTTCTTCTTCATCTCCTCCCCTATCCCATTCTCTAGACTGGTGGATTCAGGGCCTCTGGGACTTGGAGGCTGGGTTGGGCTGGGACCATTGCTTCTGGGGGCTGTCGCAGGCGTGCAGGGTGAAAGAGGAGGTCTCCCAGCCTGCTGGGTGGCCACAGCTTGTGAGCAACAGGTGGAGGATCCAGTGGTAGGCAGAGTGGAGCTGAGTGGGGTCAGTGGTCCCATCCTGGCATCTGTAGGATGGCTCTGCATTCCTGCTGACAGTGGCCTGGGGTAAGGCGTCCTATTGGTTTGCCTTTGAGGGTCCAGGTTTCCAGGACATTCACTGGGAACTGAGGGGACACCAACTGCTCTGCCATCTACACCATCCCGAGGGCCAGGGTGGTGTCTGAGCAACGGCATCTCCTCACGGCCTCTTTCTGAACAGTTGAGCAACCTGGAGCAGGATACAAATGTGAAAGTTACGGCTCTGAAGAGGCTCACATTGAGCCTAAGGGCCACTACAAGGATGAGAGACACATTTACTGGGAAGCAAGATGGACTCCCTTCCTACTCCCAAGTTTAAATAAAATACTAAGCAGGCATAAACTCTAACAGGAAAGTGTCTCCCGGGAACCTGGGTTGACAAAGTAGCTGCATTAGCTGACCCCTCTCACCATGCCAACCTTCACCTTTGTAAAGTAGCTTTTAACAACTAGATCACAGTCACCATTGTCACGTGGACTCCGACATGTGGCAATTCCATGTGTTACCAAGCAGAACTGCTCCATTGCACTTTCTGGGCTGTAGTCTTACAGAAACAGATCACCAGGCCTTTCTAACAAGGTGCCAATGGATGGAATCGAACCACCAACTTTGGGGTCAGTAGGATATGCACTTGACCTCGAAGTTGGTTTGAACTGCAAGGCTGGTGGTTCAAAATCACCACCTGCTCCTTGAACCCCAACACAGGGTTGACGACACTTAACAACAACAGTTGAGAGCAAACCATTTGGGACACTCAGGATTTTCTTTTTTGAGGACAGCCTTGTGTACATAAAAGGAAACCATCAGATAGATACATCTGTTCAGTTTCTTTTAGGACTGCATTGGGAAAAAGCTCCTGACTTACTTGCACCATCTCATTCTGTTCCCTGTGAGAGACCCGGGGAGAGGCAACTTTGGAAAGCATTTGATTGACTGAATTTGAAGGCTATATTTACAACTTTCTCTTTAAAAGAAGTTAAAAAAGAAGAGGGAGAGTCTTGCCTCGAGACTGGCAGTAATGAGCGAATCTAGTGTATGGTGATTTAAACAACTGCCCTCTAGGCTCCCGGGAAAACTCCAGCCATTTTCAATAGTTTAGCTCTTGTGTTCCAAAAGCAAAGAAAGAGGAGGGAAAGGCAGAGAGAACAAGACTGGGGCACCACCCGCCTGCTTCGTAAGTGGCAATGTGAGGCTAAAAATACTTCAGCAGATCCAACGTCACATCATGCGTGAAGTCCTTAATTGCAGTTCCCTGATTGGCTGTGCAAATCAGTCTGGAGAGCAGATGGCACCTTTCAGTTCACAAATCAGGCTCCACCAAGGGAGCTGTGACTCAGTCATGGGGCAGAGAGGTCCCTGGAGTGCCAGTAAGGACACCTAGCACATGGCAAGACGACCACAAGGAACCTCTCAGATCTTCATTTGTACAACAATGCAGACGGTTGACTAAAGGGCCCATAATGCTTTCAGATGCAATCCCTTGTTCTTGTTGTTGTTAAGTGTATTCAAGTCAATTCTGACCCATAGTAAACCTGTATAGGGTTTGTGAGGAGCGGCTGGTGGGTTTGAACTACTGACCTTGCAGTTCAACTGACCTTGCAGTCCAGTGCGTTATCACGCAGGACCACACCATGGTCCATCAAAGATGCTTTCCATTTAGGCACTGTTTCTGTTTTATACAAGTACCCTCTCAAAGCTCTTCTTGGGGGCTCCCCAAATGTGAACATTAGAGACTTGAGGTCATAGAGGCTTTATTCCAGGTGTCCTTCCTTTTGATATCCCCAGTGTCTGGCATAAAGTACCCTCTTAGATGTTGTTGTTAAGTGCTGTTGAGTTGGTCCTGACTCAGAGTGACCTGTGAGTTTGAACTACTAACTTTGTGGTTCAAACCAACCTTGTAGTCTAGCACATTATCCTGCATGCCACAATGCCTATAAATGAATGATGTCTCTCCTACCTTCCTGCTCTCTGGACTGTAGACTATGAGCTATTTTTAAACGTAGCATAATAGGGTGTGCCTAGGTGGTACAGAGGTTGAACACTTGGCTGCTAAGAGGACATACAATAATTTGGAATCTGATATCTTAATGCCAAACAGATACATTCATTTTATTTATTAGACATACATTGTGAGGCTGTTTTAAAAGAAGAGATATTACTAAAACATACAATAAAATAATAAACAGCTATCCTTTAAAAATCCAGCCCAACAAACTTTGTTGAGATGTATTACGCACTGACTTGTACCCCTACCCCCAAATGTGTATTTGTGTAGGGTGTGTCTTCAGTCAGTCAATCTCTTTTGAGATATAAAAGGAACAGATAGGAAGCACAGTTGGACGAAGAGAGAGGCTATGCCAGATAAAGATCACCAAGGAAAACAGAGGACAAGAGACACATCCCTTCTCCCAGAGACAAAAGAAAGAGAAAGTCTTCTCAGAGAGATGACACCCTACGTTCAGATTCCTAGCTTCCTAACTGTAAGAAAATAAATTGCTGTTTGTTAAAGTCACTACTTGTGGTATTTTTATTATAGCAGCATTAGATAACTAAGATGTTTTTAGTTAATGTATAATCTTTAGTTCCTTAAAACTAAGGAACTAAATCCTGGAACATACGAACCACACTAAAATCCTGTAATTTTGAAGGTAAGACTTGAGTTAAATGCTTATTTTGGTAGAGAATACTTCTCTTTTGGTGAATTTTTTGTGTGTTGTTCCAGAAACAAAGGATACAGTGAATAAGATTTTGTTCTAGGCCATTCTATAATGCTGGTGAGACTCTCACACAAGGTTTGTTAATGCGTATCCAAGAATCCTAATGTGCAAGAACTGGGATCTGGAGAGCAATTTCTCCAACCTTTGACCTTAGGCCAGCTCTCTGTTCAAAGTGCTCTACTCCATTCGGTTATTTTTTCTCTTGTCTCCAGCTTTTAGCAGAAGTACACAAACTAACCAAAGTCCTCAGCCTCACCTTGAATACTCTGAATACTTCCTTCACATTAGGTACAGCTGCAGCAGTAGGTAGCACGGGGATGAAATTAACCAAGGAGGAGGCATGAAAAATAACCACAGAGGCTGCTCCAGGCAGTAAAGCGGGTAACCTAACACTCACTTCCTGACTGCAAGGGCAGCATCTAAGTGACAGTGTTAGCTTGAGTTATGGAAAAGGTGAATACAAAGGGAGAAATAATAACTGGAATAAACATAAGAAAAGTTAAAGGAACTACCTTGGAAAACAACATGAATTATCATATTAATAACAGCGGTTATAGTTATGTTGTTGTTGTTAAGTGCTGTTGAATCAGTTCTGACTCACTCACAGCAACCCTCTATAGGCTTTCCAAGGAGCAGCTAGTGGGTTTCAATTGCTGATCTTGTGGTTCACAGTCCAATGCTGATCTTACAGCACCACACCATATAATATGGTAATACAGTAATACATATTATGATGCTGTAGACATGTGGTTCTGGTAACACCCTCTTTGGAAATTTCTACTTATTAAGCTCCATGGAAACAATTCAAATTTCAAATTCTAATAAGTTACGCAGTATAATTTTCCACCTAGGATAACTGACTTTGATGGCAAAAATCTTTTTTTCTGAAGTGACTTTCCTGTTCCTTTTAATCGTTAAATGTCTATAAATCATGATTTTGAACTTCATTTTTTACTACAGGTGCTTTCTGTTTGCTGTTTAGGAAATACTCGTTCTTTCTCTTATACTTTAGTCTACAGGCTTGTTTGGGAACAGAACTGGAACAGAGAAGTGACACCAGAGAGGCAGCGTTTGAGAAATGCATTTCCATTCATTATTCTAATGTCAAATTCTTCAGAAGTCAGCCCCTTTCCTCAAGAAATGAAAACCTTTCTGAATAATGCTATTCTTAGAGAAAGTAATCTATTTAAAAATAAGAAATAAAATGTTCCCCATGTCTACAAATTGGGAAAGGCAGGGGCCCGTAACACTATGTACCAGTACAGCACTGCATTTCAAGGTCATGTAGAGAGGAACAACATTCATCAATCAGAATCCAAAAGAAATAAATATACACATACCTAGATCCAGGGCCAGTCAGGGAGCATGGATCCTTCACAAGGTCAAGGCTACTGTTGTCTCCCAAAAGCATATCCTTGAAACACAAGAATGGGACATCATTACTACCAACAAACATTTACATTTACTGGGGAGTGGGGGTAGGTAGAAAGAAGGACCCTTTAGTGAAGACCTACTGTTGTCAGACACCATAGTGGTGTATTCGAGCTTAGATTGTAAAGTACTTGGTTTGTGGAGACTGTGGGAACCCTAACTTCATTTTGAATCTGACGTTAAGTTCAGTTGCCATTTGAATTCTTCATGTTACTTCCCTGTCCTTGTGTGGCACTGAAGGATAAGCAATGGACTGCTAACCACAAGGTTGGCAGTTTAAACCCACACAGCCATTCCTCCGAAACTGTATCCAGAGTCACTATGAGTCAGAACCAACTGCATAGCACTTAACAACACCAATACATTACTTCTTAATGTGTGCTGACCAGTAAACCAGCAGCCACGTCTCAGAAACCCTATACAGACTCACTGTGAGTCAGAACCGACTCCATGGCACTTAACACAAATCACTTCCCAACGTGTGCTGACCAGTAAACCAGCAATGCGGCTATGCTTAGAAAGTTCAGGGAAGGGCAGGAGGGGAAGTTTGCCCTCAGAAACTAGGGAATTTGTCTGGCCCTGTCCTTAATGATTTACCAAAAAGCATGTTACCTAGGTTCAGTTAAAAACTGGGTCCCGGTGACCAGACTACATGGTTGTGAGCCATACCTCTACCACCATGTAGAAGCCCCAGAATCCATTCTGTACTTCTTTTTAATCTGTAATCATGGTCTTTTCCCCACTTCTGTTTCCCCTTAGACAGTGATGAATTGGCTGCTACCAATCATGATTTTGTGAAGACTTCCTTTGTTTCTTATCAACTATAATGAGCCCCATGGCCAGGAGTTGGCAGACATCACTGGTCTCTGCACTGTGTGCTACTGACAGTTTTAATCTGCCTTTGTCCTGTTTAAGGCTTAATAAAGGGACTCTATCCATCTGAGAAGAAAGGCCTGGCAATCTCGTCCCCAAAAATCAGCTACTGAAAGCACTATGGAACTCAGTTGTGCTCAGACACATGGGATGGCAATGAATTGGAACCTACTCCATGACAACTGGTTTAACTGGTGTCCCTAGAAACTACCATTCTATCTAACCTTAACATTCCTGGTAGGTCTGTCTGGTATCAATGTCTGGTAAACATTTCTAAATTCAAATTAGAAGAGAACCTTAAAAACAATCTCACCCAAACAAACCCTGTAATTCCCTTAGCAAAGTGGTACTCTTCTAGACCTTCTCATTTAACCCTTAAAGTCCTCCCCCACAAAACGAAACAAAGCAAACCATTGCCACCCGGTTGATTTCGACTCACAGCACCTGTGTATGGGGTTTCTGAGGCTGTAAGTCTTTCTAGGAAGAGGCAGCCTCATTTTTCTTCATCAGTGGGTTTAAACTGCTGACCTTAAGGTTAGCAGCACATGGCCACCAGGGCTCCAGGAAGTACTATTAACCTCACTGTGTAACAAATAGTCCACAGCTGCTCTGCAGGAGAAAGGCCAGGCAAAAGACCAACAGCCTCAGGAACCCTACGCAAGGTGGCTATTAGTCAGAATCAACTCCCTGGCACTTAACAATAACAGCAACAACATAACAAATGGCAGAGTCAAAATTTGAACCTTGATCTGCCTCACTAGGTGCCTACCCAAACAAGAATATTTCCTAAGAGATCTCCAGGGTTCAAAACAACTCTTAAACTTGAAATATGAGGATTAAAATAAATGCAAAGAGCCATCTGAAATGGCAATTGGGAAACATGAGTGATAACAGCAGAAGGACAGTATGTATATGTTGTAGAAAACTTCAAAACGTTCTAAATTGTAATTAGAGAAGATATGAAAGTGGTTTGCAATTAGGCTGAAATAAATTCTCTCTGGGAATGTTACTGTACCCACATGAAATATAAATAACTGGGGAATTTCAGGAGGGTAGTTTTTGTTTGCTTATCTATTTAAAAGGAAATATAGTTGTAATGTCTTAAAAGGGCTAAAGGTTAGTTTTGTTGTTGTTGTTGTTGTTAGTTGTAATGTCTTAAAAGGGCTAAAGGTTAGTTTTGTTGTTGTAGTTAAGTGCTGTCGAATCAGTTCAGATTCATAGCTACCCTGTATAGGGTTTCCGAGGAGCGACTGGTGAATTTGAACCGCTGACCTTGAGGTTCAAACCAACCTGTGGCCGAGTGCTTATCCTACGCCATAAATTTAGTCCAGATGATCAAGTTCACAGTGAAGACAGTGATATTGCTATTGATAATATTCAACTATCTATTATCTGCTCCCATAAAGATTTGCAGCCTTGGAAACGCTGTGTAGGGTCACTATGAGTAGGAACCGACTCCATGGTACTTAACAACAACAATCTATTATAGCAGGACACAGGTAGAAAGCAGAACAATTAAATCCATATGTAATTCTTAATCTTTGTATTTGATTTCACATGTAGCCAAAAGGCTTAGCATGCGTTTTACTTCCTTTCTCATTTTTCTGCCCAGTCAGTGGTGGAGGTACTAATAAGCAATAAAAAGAGAAAAAGGGAGGCTGAAGATGAAAGAAACAAACACCTGTATGTTATTAGTAATTAGAGCTAACCCCTTCCTTATTTGGCAATTGCTATATGCCAGACATCCTGCTAAGTAATCCGCAATCCACAAATTATGAGCCTGGAATTGTAGCAGCATTTTACATTTCTTTTGTAGATTAACCTTTAAAAACAATTTTAGGGAAGGGGGAGATGGGAAGAGGTTAAGTATCTTGCTCACAGTTAAATAATTGTAGGATAGGATTCAAAGTCCAGTATTGTTCCAAGAAATTCTACAAGATGGATGGTTGGCTGGAATCAGACTTGACTAATATCTGTTGTGTTGCTGCTGTTGTTAGGTGTCATTGAGTCCACTCCAACTCATAGTGACCCTGTATAGGGTTTCCAAGGAGCGGCTGGTGGGTTTGAACTGCCTACCTTATAGTCTAGTGCTTAACCTATAGCCCACACCAGGACTCCATTGTTTTGTTAGGTGCCCTCAAGTTGGTTCCAACTCATGGAGACCATATAACAACAGAATGAAACACTCCCCAGTCCTACACCATCCTTACAATTGTGTTTGAGGCCATTGTTTTGTCTCTTCCCCAGTCACATTCTGAGTGCCTTCCAACCTGAAGGGCTCATCTTGAGGCACTGTATCAGAAAATGTCCCACTGCTATTCATAATGTTTTCAGTAGCTAACCATTCAGATGTGGTCCACCTCTCCTCCTTCCTAGTTTGTTTTATTCTGGAAACTCAGTTGAAACCTGTCCACCACAGGTGACCCTGCTGGTATTTAAAACACCAGTGGCATATCCTCCAGAATCACAGTAACATACAAGCGACCACAGGACAAACTGAAAGATGAGTGGTGGGATAGCAGTGCTAGGCAGTGGGAACTTTTACTCTTCATGAAACCTTAAGACCCTTTACAAGTCTTTCCCCACTCCATCCTTCTTTGTTGTTATGAATGTGTCAATAACATGTGCCAATAATTGGAAAAGCCTCCAGGCCCCATTCGAGCCTCCAAAACTAGTGTAAGTTTAAATATATTTTCCTATTTTGTTATAGCCTTTGCTTTTCCATATGAGAATTAATTTCATTTGTTTTTACGTGATTAGGTCTCTAGGACATCAAACTTAAATTGCTATTTATGTGAGATGCTTTATTTTATAAGTTGATGAGTGAGTCAAATCTTCTGTTAGTTAAAATACCGTCTGGACATACATTGTGAGGATTGCACCAATGACATGAAACAAAATACGTATGAATTGTTGAATGGAAAACCGATTTTGCTCTGTCATCCTTCATCTAAGTCCCAATAAAAAGTAAAAAAAAAAAAAAAGGACAGATTTTTCCTTTTGTGAAAACACCTTTCCAATCTAATAAAAGTCCAAGGAGGATAAATTCCTATTTCATTTATTTGGCTTGACTTGGGAACTATCAAGAACACTTGTTTTCTGTAAACTGGTAAAAAATAGCAAGTATTTATTATGACAATTTAGACAAAAAGCAGTGGTTGTGGGAAGTAAACCAACTACAGAATCAACCAACAGACAATTTATTAAGTATCTTATTTACTCTGGTTAATTATCTCAAGACGAACTTAAAATTAGGAGACCTAGTGTGGTGCTGTGGGTTAATGCACTGGACCACAAAGTCGGTTTGAACCACAAGGTCCGTGGTTCACTCTACCAGCCACTCCTTGGAAACCCTATACGGGGTTGCTATGGGTCAGAACTGACACGACAGCACTTAACAGCAACAACAAAAGTCTCCTGAGGAGTTCTAGTGTGGTGTTGCAAGATAATGCAGTGAACTGCAAGGTCAGTGTGGTTCCATTCACCAGCTGCTTCTCAGAAACCCCATACAGGGTCGCTATGAGTCAAAGACCACTTGACGGCACTTAACAGCAACAACAAAGTGTACTGAATCCTAATCTTAAATTCTGTTATCTTCTAACTTATGATCAATGAAATATGAAAACACTACTATGATGTAATTTTAGTTTCTATACCTACTTAGTGAATTAGAGTCCACCCACTCCTCACACAGTGACATGGTTAAGTTCTGAAGATCAGGTCATTATGAGAAACAATACCTACTTAGTGAATTAGAGTCCACCCACTCCTCACACAGTGACATGGTTAAGTTCTGAAGATCAGGTCATTATGAGAAAACTGATTTTATCATCTCACCCTCTTACCTTTACACACAAAGTCGTGCCTGGCCACTGCCGAGGAGGTCATCTGCCTCCCAGTGATGCTTCAGGAGAGCTCAGTCCCTACTGCTGCCCACAGGGGAAGGCCACCCCACCTTCCAGAGCTTGAGTAGCCCAAGCAACTCACGTATTCCCACTGCAAAGATCCCTTCCTTTTCCTGGCCTCACTAATTTCAGGATAGGTGGCCCAGGCTCATCCTCTCAGTAACCCCAAAATGCTCTAGGAGGCTTTGTTGGGGGCAATGGGCTC